GTTATTTCGCGAGGCATCCTACCCTTGACGGTTATTGCGGTATCATCTGCGAACAGGAAGAACACGCAACCGTCTCCGAGAGGAGGAATGTTAGAAGTGTAGATGCTGTAAAGCAACGGGCCCAACAGACTTCCTTGCGGAACACCTGCTGGGATGGAGAACGTGTTTGAAAGGCAGCCATTCAACGATACCCTGAACGACCTTTACTGAAGGTAGTTACGGGTGATTTTAAGAAGATGCAAAGGAAAGTTGAAGTTACAAAGCTTGTACACAAGCCCATTGTGCCAGACATTATCAAACGCTTTCTCAACGTCTAACAAGGCCATGGCTGTGGACTTGGATACAGCTTTGTTACTTCGGATGTGGAGTGCCCCTTTCTGAATCCAAACTGTTCCGGAAGGAGAATGTTGTTTTCCTCGACAAACTTGAGCAAACGATTGACAATGAGTTTCTCGAACAATTTGATCAGCGCTGAAAGGAGGCTTATTGGTCTGTAGCTTGAAGAAAATGTTGGATCCTTACCGGGTTTGCGGATTGGTATGATTTTTGCTATTTTGCAGATGCTTGGAAAGTAGTGCAGTTCCAAACAACTGTTGAAGATAGCGGTTAGAAGAGACTGCACTGAGTCTCTCTCTTCAAGATCAAGTTGAACATACCGTGAAACCCGGGAGCCTTCATGTTCTTGGTGCATTTCAGCGCTGAGCAAATCTGTTGTACTGTAATCATATCCGCCGGAGGCAAGACACAAGGGGAGGCATCTAGGTTTTGAACGCATTGCGCAACCTGATCTTCGAGCGGACTTTGGATATTCGAGCCAAGCAAATGCGATGAAGCGACATGCTCGCCGATCGCATTTGCTTTCTCCTGTGGGGTGATTAAAAGCCGATCGTCATCATTTTCGACTCTGAGAGGTGGAATGGGTTTGGGATGAGTTTTCAGCACCTTGGCTACCTTCCAGAATGGTCTGGAGCGGTCGTCCAGATTCTGGACAACACGCCCGAAACTTTCATTGGTGAGATTGAGTTTCATGATTTTTACTTTATACCCGAATGCAACCGAAACTTCCATCACCATTGGCAGCAGTCACTTTGTGTCTGGCTTGGGTGAAGAGTTAAGAGAGGTATCAAACTATTCTGTCTCTTTCTAAAATAAAAATAACGATATGCAAGGGAATCCATTTTGCGTCGAGTCAACTCTCTGCTGCAATATCACATGTGATTAGTAGTCTTGCAGTATCAAAAGAGCTTGTAAAAGTAATATCAAGCATGATATTTTGTTTCAATATTACGGGTGATAATGAGAGTGTATGAGAGCAATAAAATTAAATTTTGCAAATTATTGTGCCATCACTGGTTGGTATATTCTTCAAACTTGAAAGTTTAAGTTGTTCAATACGGTAATTTTTTTTAAGTTTGCTGAAGACCTGAACATTTTTGATTTCAAAGCTGTTTTATTCATCCTCCTCGCCACTACTCTCTACCACACGTCCCATTATACGTCAAATATCTTTAGCTTGTTATTCGTCGCAACCGAGCTCTAATACATTTTAAACCGGGACCACGTGATTCATACTTCGCATTCATAGGACACTATCTCATGCTGCAAACCCATTTCAACAACCCGTGAACGCGTTCACAGCATCAGTTTATTTCCAAAAACACAATTGGATTAAAAAAGCCTGGCTCATCAGATCAAGCGAAAAATAGATTGCACACGATCGAGGTTATACCAGGTAACGAAAGGAAAAGCTCCGATAACTCGATAATAAAACATATGCAAAACACTTATTGAAATAAATTATCGTGAATGGCTCTGGAGTTAATAAAAAATGCGACTGTTCTGATCGAAGGCTCGCAACCCGAGCAAAGTCCAGCATCAAAATGACAGCAAATTGAAATCAAGTTTTGATATCAACATCAAACTGAAATCATAATTTGATTTCAGTTTACGTAATTGACAAATTTGATACCTTATTTTGTTTTCATTTTGCTGTATGTACATTTGCTCTTCAAAAATATGTTGTTGCGGTTTTGTTTTCATTGCCTTAGCATAACATCAAATTGAATGCTTGTTTTGTTATCAACAGGAAAAAATGGATATCAAATTTAGTTTTAAGTTTGCTCTCACTGATAGCAGAAATTGTTTTCAATGTGACGTCACAGGAAGATTTGTTTGCTCTCAATTTTGATATTTTAACCATTGAAACGACCAAAACGACAGCAACCTGAGTAATCATTATCAGCTAAATCGCAACATCAAATTTAGATTTCAATTTGATCTCAGACTTTGCTCGGGAAGCTTGCCAATAAAATTGATCTAATTTAATTGATCTGTTTCGTCTTTAAATGATCGATTCAGCAACATAAAAACGCGTCAACCTTTCAGCACAACCTACTTCGATCTCGAAATCTGGATGTTTTCCGGAAAGTAATTTGCTATTACTTCCTGGAATTATGCATTTTTCCAGAATAATATTTTCACCAGAGAACCATTTATATAATTAATTTAATTCATAGAAATTTACATTTCATGAAAAAATAAATATTTCCTTTTTTTTTATCAAATATTGGAGTAATGGTTTGTTCTGAATAATTTTATCCAGTATATGCACCATCGTGGAAAATGTTTAGATTGAAAAAAAGTTCATGATTATAATCTAATAAATCCAGAATATTGCGCAGTATATATTTCATATTTTACGGATAGCGGCGCCGGTGGTGTAGTGGTAAGCGTGATTACCTCTCACTCCAGCAGGCCTGGATTCAATCCCAGTCGGCACCGCTGGGATGTTCTGAGGCATAATATCTCTGAACACGCCTTCCTTCGGACGGAAAATAAATCAAGGAAAAAAATATATTTACGGATATCCAAAATAATTCTTAGTTTTTATTTCAATTAGGTTTGTTATAGCCTGCTCAATAGCTAAAAGTTAATTTTTTTCATGTATTATGCCAATCGGCTATTATGCCACACGACAATTATGCCAAACGGAGTCGAACCGTATTTGCATACCATTGCATGGTTTGCAAATACGGTTCGACTCTGCATTGGTGATATTTATGTTAAATTCTCGTGAAAATGATCGACTTCATATCTGGATTACATCATTATCCAATTAAAATCACTAAAATTTATTCTCTCCATTTAATTATCAAACCATATTTCAGTTTGGTCCAAAGAAGCCCACCTGCAGATATTTATGGTCAACGATATACTTCTCATAATACATCAAGACGGTTATCCCCTTATCACCTAGCCTGCTGCTGTCACTTCTGCTGGTCCGTCTCCTCTAAAATTCGTCAAAAAAGACGGACCAGCAGCAGCATTGGAAGCAGCCGCATCGCTAGTTCGTGTAGCCATGGCTGGAAACCTCGGTTAGGTCAAGATACCGCTGTCAGCTGTTCTTCGTATGAGAGGAAATGTGGATGCGACTGCCGTCACGGGTGTAACGATTTTAGAATCTATGGCGAGACTTGGTGGAGATTCACGGTTGTTTTGAAAATAATTTGACTAGGAGTGGCAACGTCAATAACAAATTTTGACACATGCACACTGCGCAGGCGCAGAAAAAGTTCAGTGTTGCCAGTAACTTTGAAGATCATAAAAATTGTAACCATGGGTGCCAAACAACGTCAATGACTGCACCCCGATGTGCCGCAGTTTGATTTTGGCACACTGTGTAGAGTGACCAACCCCTTGATTCCTGCCCAAGAATTCGATCGAAAACTGCCAGGAATGGATAGACCGGGATTTTCGTTTCGAGCGTGCAGGATCGAATCGCGACGTGCTTGCTCCGGTTGAAGCGCCCATACTCCGTTGCGCATCCATATTTCACTCCCGTGGGGAAGCGCCCAACGTAGAGCAACAACTCGCGTGGTCTTTCTTTTTTCCGTAAAATGAAAGACAGTGCAATTCCATTTCTACTGTATGGGAAAAGCTTTTTGATGAATCCAGTTATCCTGAGGTTGGAACTGTGCTCGTCCGCACCTAGCAAACCTCGGATAATAAACTCATCAGAACAACTGCCCCGATTCTTTATTATTCGAAACCTTTTATACATGAATTTGTTACTTAAACTCTACACAATAGTTTTTCTCCAGTATGTACATATAAAGCGAGACAGATAGCTTTTCTCTTGGAAAGTCGGTGTCTGTTTTTTTAACAAGAATTAATGCTCCTCGCGGTAGGAATGGCTATGTAGGATGCTTACTCACCAATGTTTACTTTGACCTTTCTCGAAGCACCTAGTTAAGCCAGCGCGCATCGCTGACGACGCGGTAGCAACTGTTTATAAACAACTGACCCTGGAAATGTGCAACATTGTCACTGCTGCTGTTAAGTTGTGTATTTTCTACTACCGTATGGGGGTCTATTACTGGTTAATTTCTTACTCAGATTGATATTGGAATTTGAGGCCTTTGCACGGTGATACCATGATGCAAACAAATAACTTATCCTGACCACCAATGCCTACTGTGATTCTATTTACTCTTAGCTTGATTCGATGAAATTTAAAAAAAAAATTGCTCAAAAAATGCCTTAATATGTTAAACATTGCGATCACTATGAGATTATATGTGTTCAATTGGAAATAGGAATAACGCTTCGCCCGAATAAAAAATACTATTCAAAAACAATAAATCTAATTGTTACAATACAAAAGGAAACCATAAAAGCACAATAAAAAACTATGTCATTTTTACAATAAAAACACAATACAAAATATTGTTTTGAACCATACAATTTATTGTAAATGGGACTTTTACAATAACAAAGTAGGGTTGTTAGTTACCGTAACAGTTAAAAAAATTTTTTTTTCATACATTTTGGAAAGCAAAACAATAACTTTTATTGTTTCGTTATTCTACCAGTTTTTAAAAATGAACAATAAAACTGATGGTTATATAATTGTTTTTCAATGCAAAGCCTTATTGTTAGTCTTTTATAAAACAATACAAATGAATGTTGTGAAATCGTAATAAAAGTCAAGAAAAATTTGATACTGTTTGCGATACTAATTTTATTTGTTCTGATGTTTTGATCTCAAATTTTATAACAGGTGTAATTAAACTTAATACAACTTATTTGTTCCAACCAAAGCTGTAGGTAAGGTATAACAAAAATCGTCCATTAATAAAATAAAAATAACAGCATCTCTGCAAAGGTAAAATCAACCTAGATTTCAAATCAAGCGACACTTTTATTGATGCGCCTTTCGGAATTTTTGGCAGCCTTTCTTAAATTAGCAATTTTTTCTGCAATTGCTTTGTTCACAACGCTTTCATGGGACAAAGTTTTGATTTGCCCTAAATTATTTAATCCAACTTCCAGGGCCACCCGTTCTCGTGCTTTAGCTGAAAACAAGAAATCTTCAGATGGGTAAGAATATATAATATAAAAAAACTCACCGTAGATGAACTCCAACTTTTTTGGTGAAATGCCGGGACGAATAGGGTTGTCATTTGGAACATTTTTCATTCGATTTGATGAACGACCCTCCACTGATCTCTCTTGAAGGTTTTGAGCTCCATACAAATGAGAGGCCAGATTCTGTGCAAATGAGGCAACAGATTTCGAAATTCCGTTAATGTTCTCGATTTGTGTCACGGGCATATTAATATCCGGATCAGGTTGAAATGTCTACAAAGAAAACAAATCGTAGTTGATAACAATCAGAAACCAACATATAATTACAAATCATAAAACCAAAATACTTACAGTGTTCTCATTTTCACCCATTCTCGCCTTTTTAGCCTCAGCCACCGCATGTACCACAAGATCCTTCATTTCGGCCAGCTGTAACTTGTAATTTACATTTTTCTTTCGTGATGCTTTCAACATTTCCGCTTGCTTCTGATGTTTGGCCAAAAGTTTGGCATATTTTTCATCCTTGCTTCCATCGTCTGTATCGGAATCGTCTGTTGAATCATTCATCGGTTGTAGTGGTGACTGTGGTGGTGACGCAGTTTGCGAAGGCGATGGCTGAGATTCGGGTTGAATATTGGGTACCAACGAAGACCTTGCTGGAGATATTGACAACGCTTTGAAAGCTTTCGAAGAAGAAGCAGCTGCAACAGGAGTAGCTGGCGGTGGATGACACGATGATGTCGGTAGGAGTGGTGTCAATAACTGGTATGTTGGTGCTGGCGATGCAGAATGAGTAGCTGGTGGAGACTGATTGGTTGATGCTTGCGATGATGCCGGTGAGAGTGACGTCGATGTGCTTGCCAATGCACCGGGATACAGAGTTTGAGACACTGGAATGCAGACTCCGGGATAACGGAATGTAGACTTCGGTGCTGGCAACGTTGCACATGGTGGTGCTGGTGGATGAAAAATCAGTGGTTTTACCACTGAAGGAAGAGTTTCCGAAATCTCTTCGTAGTCCTTTTGACTCAAATTAAGCGGATCATGTTCGTCATCACCAACTTGTCCAAAACTTTTGGAACTTTTAGCTTGATTCACTGCTGCTGTCTTGGGTGCGATTTTTTGTTTTAACTGCATTTAGCTAAATAAATAAAAACATAAGTGTCAAAAATTGTAAATAAATAAACAAGTATGTGCAAATACCTACAGCTGCCTGCAGAAAAGTAAGGTTAGAAGCCTTCGCTCGAGCTCTCTCACTGGCACCGGCAAGATTGCGTTGCACTGATGATCTGGTTGATCGAGCTGGTTCTTCTAAAGTTAAAAGTAAACGATAACAAAACGATGCACTTACTATATTCGGAGTTGTCTTACCATTTTTCGTTATTTCTCCGCACTGTGCCTTCTTTTTTGGGGGCATTTTAATTCGGACTTCAAACTCACGCACAAAACCGACGAGTTTCTTTTACAAATGGCGGATAGCTGCAAATCTCCAATAGCAACTGCTGCATCTTGAAGGATACATTTTGAAAAGGTCCGATATTACGTCGTCACTGGAACATATTTTTTTTTTCATAGCCAAAACGTGTTGACACAATTCAATTTGTCTCGAAAATAGTACACTTAATACCTTGAAGCTTTTTCTACGAGTTTTTTTTTACGTGAAGTGTTTTATATGGTTTTGGGATTTGCACGGATTACGAGATTTGCGTGGTTTTCGGAATTTCCGCATTTTTTCATTATTCCCGGTTTTGTAGATGCACACGATTTTTTCACACATTGCAAAACCACCATTCACCGTATTAAAATGGAAGAATTATTTGGATTTGATATTAATGGATGTCAATAAGACTTATTCAAAAGTTACTCTATTGAGTTTTTTGACGTTTCATCGGCGCACACTACTGCACCAATGTCATGGATAACAGGTCCGGCAATGAAAATTTGCCGTGTCTTTCATTCTTCGGCTGCTCTTATGCAACGATGAGTGTGACGTCAAACTCTTCGTTACATATTATCAGCAGGAGAAAGAAAGAGGTGACAAACTCACATTGTGGGACCTGTTCTTCGTGACATTGCTACTGCACAATCAAGTCAATCGTTTACTGACATTTTCTGTTGAGATAATAGTAATCTTTAATTTAATAGTATGCGAAATTCGAGGCTAAATGGTTTATATTACAAAAACCAATCCACACCATATGCTCGTCGGTGTCGTAAGGTAAGTAGTAATATATAAATTATCCAATACGCATTCTAATTCAGTACTTTTTTGAAGAAACCAATCGGCCGGCACCAGGAAATCCATCCAAGACGTCGACCAGAAAATTGTATCTCTGGTACTAATGATGCTCTGCCAGTTAATGTAGCAGCACAATCAGCTAACATCTATAAGCAGCAGGTAGCTTAATGGAACATTAAATTAGAACAGAAAAAATATTTAATAAAAAACATATAAACAACATTTTAGATTCCCGTTCGAATCGTACCAGAATTTCATCCCGATGAAACCGGTTCAAGCCTGGATTCAAATGTTGATATACCAAGCGATACAGATTTGGATAGCCTTGCTGAAGTGGAAGCTATGCCAAAATCACCACCTTTTTCATGTGTTTTGGATTCGGACCAGAATGCTGGCCTGTTGGAATCAGATGCATATTCGGACCTCAGTGAAACGTCGTCCATATCTGATTTTAATTCTGATACGTTTGAATATTCTGACCATGAAGCGGTTAGTTATTTTTACTCTTTAATGTGTTTAAATTTAAACTTTATTCATGAGTATTGAAAGAGCAAATTAAAACCCTTCGAAGATTTGTAATGTTGTGTTATTATTATCTCATTTATAGGACGAACCTAGGGCCGAACATATCAACCCAGCCGAACTATTGCACCAGAATTTAACGATTACAAAGAGCGAGATTATGCTCATGCTTCTGCACATTTTCATGCGACATAATCTAACCAATGTGGCACTTGAGGATTTGCTGCACATGATCAATGTAATCGTAGGCTACACTTCGCTACCGAGGACTTTTTATTCCTTCTCCAAATATTTTGCGGCTAACGACTTCACTCGTCACTACATATGCAAATCATGTGGACTGTATCTTGGAGAAGTCCATACAGAATCGTGTGAAATTTGCAGTAGTGTTCATAAGGAATATTTCGTATCATTCGACATCCTATCGGCTCTGAAAAAAGTTCTACAAAGAAACTGGAGTTATATTACAGATTACGTTCAGACAACCTCAGGTCGATTCATTGATGATATTAGGCAAGGCCGAGTCGTACAAAATTTGATGCAATCGAACCGGATTTCAATATCTTTCAATACCGATGGTGTAGCAGTGTTTAATTCGAATATTAAGAAATCTCTATGGCCCATTATCATTACGATTAATGATTTACCGCCTTCTCTACGGTTTTTACGTCGAAATACCATAATTTCAGGATTGTGGCTCAGTAGTGGTGACCCTGATTTGGAAATTTTTATGAAACCATTCTTGACCCAGTTGCAGGAGTTAGCTTTCAAAGGATTAGAGATTTTTGAAGGGCTGGTGTATAAAGTATTTACTGTTGCGTGTTGCGTGGACAGTGTTGGACATTGCAAATTGCAACAAATTAAACAGTTTAATGGCTACGAAGCCTGCAGCTTTTGTAAGCATCCAGGTACTTTAACAGAAACTAAACAGATTCGATATAGTTTCATGCAGACAATTAAATTACGAAACTATCAAGAGACCATAAATGCCATGGACCTCTACTCTAAATATGGTGCACCTGTTGGCGGTATAAAAGGAATTTCTTGCTTGATCGCAATCCCGCATTTCGATGTAATATTTTATTGTCCTGTAGATTACATGCACGCAGTCCTTCTAGGTGTTTGTAAACAACTGTGCAACTTGTGGCTAGGTGGATTTGGCCACGAATGGTACATAAAAAAGCATATGGATGACATTGATCACATCCTCACCTCGATAAACTCCTTCAATGAAATGTCTCGTAAACCACGCAAGATGTCTGACAGGAAAACATGGAAAGCAAATGAGTGGCAAAATTGGCTGCTACTGTATAGTTCAGTTTGTTTGAAAAAATATTTACCACAAAAATATTAACTGTGAGCATGCAAACATTATTATCAAAAACTATAACGGAGGATGATATTAAAAATTGTGAAACTCAGTTGAATTTATTCGTTCAACAATTTGAAACATTGTACGGTGTAGGAGAAATGAAATACAATGTTCACTTGTTACTACACATACCCTTATGTGTACGTAACTATGGTCCTATGTGGACATTTTCTTTGTTTAATTTCGAGGATATAAACGGAGTTTTGAAAAAATATGTTAAAGGCCCAAAGGAGCCTATTTTGCAAATAGCAACGCGTTGCACATTAGCACATAGGGTTACGGTATGTAATGTGGGTCTAGTCCTTTCATTCGGCCTATCACGCAAATAAATAATTAATTAAGGAATATTACACAAAAAATAAGGAAAATATTGATCACTGATGATTGATAAATGTGTACCACACACAAATCAATTTATATCACAACATTTCAATACATTTTCAGCTCTCGTAAGTAATAAAACTGGTTGAGAATATCACTCTGTTCGGAGTTTTTAGCCGCCATGACTTCTAAGGTTAAGATGGGAAGGTTGCACTGACGATCATCAAATGGCCTGATTATGGCATTTATTGAATGGAATTACCTGATAATACACACTAGACGTAAAACTCACAGTTACTGTTTGAATATTTTATGTTTATTTTAATTGTTTAACAACGTTTTCACAAGTAAATCATGGACCCAACTTTAGGGACACATTTCTTTTCTATGTTCCTAACTTTGGCCCATGAAATTCATTTGACAGCATATAGCAATAAGAGTAACGTCAACAATGTGGTTTGCATTTGGATGATAAGGAACGAACAGGAAGGGAGATTTTTTCTGCCAAATCTGTATAATGAACATCACAATGTTTTGATTTAGATATTCTGCGGTCGAAAGACGATAAGCGAATTTTTTAATTTTTAATTTTTAACTTGAGTGATTTAATGTAGTTTTCGTAAAATTTTCTCTAAGAAATGTTTTGAGGAATGAAGAGTATTAAGTTAACAGTGATAGTGATAAAAAAAAATACATAAGAAAACGTTACCAAGAGCGTTTTTTTTGAGAATCAAACAGGATAGGACGAAGTTGCATCCATAAATAGACCCAATTTGGGGACAATAGACCGATATTACATACATTTCCCTGGTGAGTTTTTGTCTTAAAAAAAGTAAGTTTTTCAACTTTTTGCGGTTCCTGATAGCAAACGACATGATAAGCATATCTAAGCATACCATTTAGCAGTAGAATATCGTTTGCAGGTAAATTAATTGATGAGTTATGATTAAAAACGTAATCTATGGCTGCATATTAGACCGAGGTTAGGGACGTATACCCTATTAAAGAAAATACTGATTATATCTCAATTCACCATGATGAAGTAAAAAATTTCTGCCAAAATCTCAACAAATCTGGTAGAAGGGAAGCCAAATGTTTCACTAATAAATTCACTATCCCTCCCAATGTAGAAAATACATACAATCATCAATATTTTGAGGAAAGAGATTATTTCATTAAAAATAGATTTTTGTTCAAACGAAGTAAAATAACTCCCAACAAAACTAAAAAAATTACAAAATCAGATGACTCCACGTTTACTATGTATTCTAATGGAAATCATTGTGCATATTTTATTCTCGGAAGCGACTTATTATTTATTGTACAAACCATTAGCGATCGACAACGAAAGTGAAGTATTGTTAACGGGAAAAGAACAGAGAGAATTACAACTAGTGCAAACAAACAGCTCATTGAAAAAATGTGTGAGAATTTTTGCTTTCGATAAAATGTACATTCGCCCAATTGAATTTGTGCCGTGGGTAGATTGAGGAAA